CTAAACTAGATCCAAAATAAACTAGAAACTTTCTTCATGGATGGAAACTTTGGGAAAATGTTTCAGACTAAATGGTGACTACGGTGAACTTGTATATCTGAAGAGAAATACATTTGCATTCCTTTGATATCAGTTTCATTGTTCTGTCAGGTCTAAAATTTGTTTTGTAAGAATGGGGACTTTATATATCAGTATACGTGCATGTGCACAAACGCCACACACACGCACATACGCACACACACACAAACATATACACGCACAGACAAACATATATATATATATATATATATATATATATATATATATATATATATATATATATATATATATATATATATATAGGCATCAAATGAAATGTTTGCGGTGTATTTTACATTTGTAGATATGCAAAATAAATACGTGAGTAGCGAGTGACCTAACGGTGATCTACACGACAAATGGAAACGGCGAACCGTGTTTAGATTCCGACTACTTTTCCTTCAGCCTTAGTTTTTTTTTTTTTTCTATGGATAAACTGTAGTGGCGTCTTGGAGGTGGACAATTCTGATTCTGATTCTAAACTAAGTCTTGAAAACAGATTTTCCATGTAATTATATATGTCCCCCCCCCCGCAAAGCGATACCTAAGATTAAGATGCATTTTTAAAAATGAAAATCTTTTCCCAAAATTTAATTTTAGTTATAATTCCTAGATAATACATTGCATTTAATATTCCCTTACTTTGGTGTATATCATTTAAACTAATTGGAATCCTTTCTTTTTCTTTATAAAATCCACAAATTCGTCCAGATTGACAGACCTGTAAACACAAAATAATTCTCCTTTTTAAAAAATCTTTCAATATTTTAAAATATACTTTTCTGAAAAGTCATTTAAAGAAAATTAGCTGATTTAAATATTAATTAATCTGAATTGAAACAAATATTATTTGTTTTAGTTTATCAAATACCGCAGAAAATCATTACATTACTACGGAGTGAGTGTTTTTCCCCCGACGTTTTGAGTGATTTATTGACAACCTGTTGTTTGGACAATTTAAATAAGGGGGAGAGAATTGAAAGAAATTACTTGGCGAATACAACGTAAACGCCCTTTTTATATAATTGTTTTAACTACCCAGTAATCTTTAAAAATTAAGTAAGCTAAATGTATATATATATATTTTTTTTTTCAAGATACGGTAGAGAAATTAAAATAAGTGAAATTGGTTTGTCTGGTTGGCGATGTGAACATCAAAATGAAAATGTTAAAGAGGAATTTACACACATTTACTTTCACACTGAAATGTTTAGAGATTTTGTTTTGTCTAGTTTCAGTATTTGAAAAATCTTTCTTGAACATTTTTAGGAAAGAAATTTTATTAATTTGTTCGAAAGTTGTATTTAAAAAAAAAATCAAAACGCAAGCATACATGCACACAGATATATGTATGTGTGTGTGTTTGAATTGAACATAACTAAATACAAGAGGAATTCAGCCACAGACGATTCTCTTACCTGTGCTAACAACTGCATCATACTAACACACGTACATACGTGCATGCATAAGTCTGTCTATTCTGTCTCACATTACATTTTTCACATCTGCGTATCAGTTAGCGTACATTAGTTACTTATATGATTAACATTCTTGATAATAATTTGATCTGGATGTACGGATCTGGATATGCCGACCAGAAAACTGTAATGAATAATTGAATAGACAGACCTTGTCGGTTGAATTCAATGAAATATGTTTGAATAAGTGTTAGGTCAGAAAGTTTTAATTTGTGTCTGATGATTACTATATGCATGAAACATGAAACATAAAGTACAATCAAGCAGCAGGAAATAAATGTCTAATTATTCTTAGTATAAATTTTAGTCCTGTTATTTTACATCGAACACTATTTTATTATTACTACCAACACTCACCCTGCGCTATTTTTCTCCTGATGATGGCATGATGGCCGAAACTAGTCGAGGAATCTAATTTAAATAATAAAACAAAAAGTATTAATATATAAGGCAGTGTGCCTGAAATTTTAATTTTTAACATTTTTTTTATTCAAGACATATATAAATATATATCAACATTAGAATGGACAGTTTTTTAATCAATTTAAACGTTATTTTTTGTGGATACTTATATTTGAGTTTACTTATTAAACGGTATATTGGCCTGAATGTTCGAGAAATCTTATTAAAGAATCGAACCTGTGTCCTTTAGGCCCACCACGCCTTACTGACTTGCCCACAAAGAGCGCCTACTCAAATACAAGTATTTTTTTTTAATTCTACACCCGAAGATTGCGTCGTTAATGAAACTCAGTCGCGATAGTAGTGTGGGATAGTATGTAGATTTATGAAAATATATGTATATTTTTGCCGTTTAACTAGCACCTGCACCATATGTGTGATATATTGTAATTTTATTGCCATACATATATAGTGTTATACACGAAAGTATTAGACATTTTTATTTTAAGTATATAAAGAAATATCATTTTTATTAGGTTTGGTTTTCATAAAATAGATTTATTACTTATTTTATTTTTTGTAATGGTTTTCTTATCTATTTTCTTTAAACATTGACTTTTTTTGTTAATAAGTGGTTGGTTTATACTGTTAACTTCTTTGCAAAGTGCGAGAAGGAAATTATGTGTGTACTGTAAATCAAGTATTTTCTTATGATAGTTGTACCTGAGGATGTGCGAATGGTGTAACAGATCGTGACAGGGTAAGTGGTATCTGCAAGCCGAATTCAAATTCCCTGCAAGACTGTTACACTAATTGTTCGCATTAATATCCTTGGGAAAGTCATGAATCCGATTAAGCTATGGGTTAAATAGTCGCGTAAATGGGGATCTCTGGTCATGGGTAGCAATCAATCTAAGAGAAGAAAACACTGTGAAATCCAAACATTGGAAAAAGCAACGGGAAACTCCTGTGCTATCTTTCCCAAGAATGCATGACGATAAAGACAAAGAAATCATGATCCTCTATGTCCTAACTTGATATGGCATTTAAAAGAGGTCTTATATCTATGTGCGCAATGGCTGTCATAATCAAGAAGACTAATTTTTTTTTATATACGTTTATAGTAAAAGTATGACTATTAGAAACTATTTATCCCGAAAAGGTTTGGTTTATATTGCTTTACGGCATATCAACCTCAATGCGTTATTTGATGCCGACAAGTTTTTTTTAGGATAGTTTCGTATGAATACAATATGCATTCTTTGTAGGTCATCAGTTTGTAGATCCGGTTTCATTTCAAAAATGTATTGTTGGTATTTTTACTATAAAAATCTATTTTTATACTGTCATGTTTTTGGACATCAGTATTAACTATTTGCTCATAGCTGGGGGCCCTAATAGGTGTTACCACCCCGGGTCAGGTTGAAGTTGGTAACAATAGAAATTAAGAGGTGGTTCCACGCTCCTCAAAACCTTTTCCTGCCGGACGATCTCGAAAATGAATTTCATGATTGTTATTCGTATTTAAATCGAAGAACAGAATTTCTTTCAATTATTATAATTATTTTCAAGATGTTTTTAATATCTGTTTTATGGTTAAAAAGAGTATATCGGTTATATATCTAATATGCATGCGAGTTTTTTCAAGACTGTTTTATTGGCGGGACATATAAATAAATTCGTATTGGCGGGACATATAAATAAATTCGTATTAAGAGTTGACTACCCCCACCTACTAATCTGTGTGTGCATATTGCCACTGTAATCGAAGAATTTATACTGTGGATATTGGGTTTGATATTTGGGGTTGCAAGGAGAGAATGTGCATATTCTACTATGTGCCTTGTCTCATCAGGGATCATGACTCTCCACAACGTCCTGTCTTTTGTAGCTCTGATAAAGGTTTGTCGTTTTGCTACCCCTTCTCCTCTCTGTTTTGTTAATCATTTACAGAAGCTCGTTCGGTTGGTTATCCTGTGAGTGTCAAATTCTCCGGGACCTCTTTCCTCGTTATTGTGCCCTAGAAATTTCAATGTTTTCCTACTGATCCTAAGTATAACTGTTCCTTTTCCTCAAAGCTTTCTCGTTACTCACATGTTCTGTCCATGGTATTCTCAGCATCTTTCTTTAGAGCCACATCTCTATTGCTTCAAGTCTCTTTTACATATGGGAGGAGATTGTTTAGCATCCACTGCCATATAGGAGGACAGATATTACATAACAGTTCAGTACTATCTTCTTTGTTTCTAACGAAATTTTCCTGTTTCTTAATACTTTGCTTAGTTTTTGAAAAGCATCTTTCGATATTCCAATGCGCCATCGGATTTTGGTGCCACATTTTTCGTCTTCTGTTAAAACACTTCCTAGTTATTTAAATTTTTGTACTTACTAGATTTTGGTAACTCCAATTTGTAAATTTCTTTTACTGAAAACCATACGTTCTATCTTCTTACAATTGAAGTCGTCTTTTCTTCTCGCTTTCCTCTTGTACCTTCTGTAGGAATACCTGTAGTTTCTTTTCTGTGTCTGATATCAACGCTGTGTCGCATGCATATCTTGTGTTATTAAGATTATGGACGCCAGCTAATGAATTCCGGAAGGACTTCTAATTCTCACTGTAAATAAATCAAGCTTTCCTAGTAGTTCAAACAGTTTTTTGTGTCGTACTTTATCAAACGCTTTTGCATAATCTATATAATGTAGGTGTATATCCTTTTGAATTTGTATTGCTATTTCTGGTATCATTAAGCATAAATACAGCGATCTTTAATCCATAGTCTTTAATAAAAGGATTGTATAGACATATAATTGCTTTTAAGGGAATACGAGTCAAAAGAATGTTGATGTCTTGCAAAGTTGCCATGATTTATTGGAATTCATTCTTCTTCTTCTTTATGTGCCGTGTCCCCTCAGGATAGAAACGATCATGGCTCTCCACAATTTCCGGTCCTATTTCTCTACTTTTCTTCTTCACATGTACCCCAAACTCTATTTCTCTTATTTCCCTTCTATTCTTCACATGTACCCACACCCGATTTTATCATGTTTATTCCGTCTACTACACATGTACCCCATATCATATTTCTCTTATTTCTTCTCTCTTCTTCACATGTACCCTACACCTTATTTATCATATTTCTTCTTTCTTCACATGTACCCTACACCTTATTTATCTTATTTCTTCTTTCTTCACATGTACCCTACACCTTATTTCTCTTATTTCATCTCTCTTCTTCACATGTACCCTACACCTTATTTCTCTTATTTCTTTCTCTCTTCCTCGCATACAACGCACACTCTACTTCTGTGCGGTTTACTGAGTAATCAGTACATAAATTATTCATAAATGTCCTGATTAGAATTGAAATTCCAATAATCGCTTATAAGAAATTTCCATCTTTATTGTTATAAATGTTAAGCAACTATCATTGTCACTTTGATTTTTCATTGCAACAACACCCAGCTATCTCTCGAGATCAAGTGGCAGCAAGCCTAGAGTAACTTATGAAAAGATTGGGATGTGATGATGCCTCTAAAACCATCGCATTATTAAATCAACAGCATTATTAAATCAACTAGAATACTGAGTATTATTATCATGATTATATCATAATAAGATTCCTTCTTACTGGAGCAATGAGGAGAATTGTTGTCTGTTAATCTACAACAAAATTTCGATGAGACACAATAAATAGAAATTTGACTGAGTGCATAAAAAAGGCAAGTGCAACTACATAACAGACTAGATAAACGTGCATCGCTTTAGTGTGAGAGTTATTTAAAAGAAAATATGCAAACGATTGGTATTTGAAATTACAAGCCAACGAACAACGCAGCAAGTGTGATAAGGAAGAAAAAACAAAATGTATACCCGGGGAAAATAGATATTGAAATGAATCACTCAACCGAGGCCAGTTATACTTATTGCCAAAGTGAAGAATATTTATTAGTGTTCATTGTTCCAGCCAATCAAAGAAAAAAAAATTGAAAGACATTGGAAAGCTGTCGAAATATATCGAATTTGTAAGAGAAGTGAAGAAACTTGGGGGATATGACGATTTTGTCCAATTGAACAAAAAACTTACACTTTTTTGAATCGCTTGGAATAATCTCCCCCAACTCACCTAATCTCTCTATCCCTCTCTCTCTATATTCCTCTCTCTCTCTCTCTCTAGCTCTCTCTCACTATCGCTTTTAGGCAAAAACAAAATAAAAATAAAACATCAAATTTGGAAAAAGTTTTAAAAATTAAAAAAGTAAAAGATTAGAAAATCTGAAGAAGAATCAAGTTAATCGAAAAGTCAGTATAGAGTTTACAGGAATAATAAAAAATTCTAATATATATATATTTATATATATATATATATATATATATATATATATATATTTATATATATATATATATATATATATATATATATATATATATATATATATATGCACATACACATAGAAGTAAAATTAATGACAAAGTGGAACTTTAGGGCTTAATCAGGCTAAATTGATATTTACAGTAATGTGACTTGATGCGCACAAAAGTGAGGGTGACAGTGAAATTTTAAACTTTTAAATTTATCTGTTATATAAAGATGTATATATTTTTTTTATATATATATATATATATATATATATATATATATATATAGATAGATAGATAGATAGATAGATAGATAGATAGCTAATATTAGTGGTAAATACACATACATATGCAAAATATATAAATATATATACATACATGCATACACATACATATATATTTTTTGTATAAAAAAAATTCCAAGAGGATAGAATCCAGGTAGAACTCAATGTCCAAGACAGAGTAAAGATATAATAAAAAGGCTTAAACACTAATATTCCCTGGTCATAATTTATTCCATTGGAATCGTAAATACGATCCAATTAGGTCAGATGAATTGGATCGTATTTACGATTCCAATGAAATAAATTATGACCATGGAATATTAGTGTTTAAGCCTTTATTATTATATATATATATATATATATATATTATGTGTGTGTGTGTGTATATGTGTGTGTGTGTGTGTATTGAGGAGGGAAAATACTGAAATGTTTAAACTGAGTAACTTATAATATTTTTGCTTTCTTGCGTAATTTAACAAATTATTATAATTAATATAATATATATAATATATGCATAATATATATATATATATATATATTAATATAATATATATAATATACAATATATATAATATATATATAAAATATAATATATATAATATATATACATAATAGATGTATATAATAATTAGTAAGTATTATAAATTCTCTATTTTCGGAAATAACTAATTTTTAAATTGTTTTTTTCATTATCTTTTTGTCTGACTGTATAGAGATATGTATGTATGTGTGTGTGTATGTATATATTAGTACAGTAATCAGTACGTAGCTTAAAAATGAATGTAAATAAGCATTTATTTGACATAAATATTTGTTGTTCAACCTGTACTTCAACGGCGAATAGTAATCGTACAGATGGAATATTATACATAATTACTTGTCAAGTTGCAGACAGTTTTGATCCACGAGGGACTACAGAAAATTGGTCCCACCCACTATCCTAAATTTGCATTCTCATGCTTGATCATTGAAATAATACTGATTTTCCAAATGGGTTGGGCTGAGAACTTTTCACTACCCACGTCATTTATGGATATAACAAAATATGTTCCCCAAAGCACATATATATGAATACACATACATATTTTTACACACACACACACACACACACACACACACACACACACACACACACACACACACATATATATATATATATATATATATATA